GTAGAGTGCTGTGACATCACAGCTCACAGCAATCTCAAACTCTTGGGCTTAAGCGATTCTCTTGCCTTAGCCTCCCAAGTAGCTGGGACTACAAGAGCCCACCACAACACCCAGCTATTTTTTTGTTGTAGTTGTCATTGTTGTTTAGTAGGCACAGGCTGGGCTTGAACCCACCAACCTCAGTGTTTGTGGCTGGGGCTCTAACCACTGAGTTAGGTGCCGAGCCAAAAATTCACCTCTTTCCTTTCACTAAACTCTAATTGAAATGTAATATTTCCTTCAGTTATGAATGTAGGCAATAAGCCACAGAATTGTTAGCCGTACCTGTGACTTTGTTGGTAATAAACATCACAGAGATTTGCATGTCATATTATGGTTTTTGCAGGCATGACTACTTCAAAATTCCAGTGGTTATTGGAACTGCCATTAGATGTGGTTATTTAATGCACAAATCAAGAAGCATATGTTACTACATAACATTTTGGGGTTAATATTTTGATAACTGTGTTTTTAAAATTTCAGATTAATATAAGGATACATACTATTAGGTTACATTGTTTGCATTTGTTAGGTAAAGTCTGTGTTTTCATTATATAAAGTTCTTTTGTAAGTCCATGGACCATAAAAGACTTTATTAAGTTTGACTTTAGCTATATTGAGAGATAAACATATTTGTTTCTAGTCTTTCATAATTTCATTGTTTGCATTTGTTAGGTAAAGTCTGTGTTTCATTATAATGGGGGTTTTTTTTGTAAGTCCATGAACCATAAAAGACTTATTAAGTTTGACATTAGCTATATTGAGAGATAAACATATTTGTTTCTAGTCTTTCATAGTTCCCTTTTGTTTCTCCTTGCATTTACCTTAAATTCTTCAAAAAGATCACTTTGATAAGTTCTAGCCCTTGGATAGGAAAATGAGGGACACAGGAATGTTCTAAGAGACTTGGTATTGGGGTGACAGCCACCATTTGAAGTCTGGATGATCCCAGAATAAGTGGGCAAAGATGAGGCAAAGAGAACAAAGAGGTCAAGAGCAGAAGAGCTGTGTGAGCAGACCACTTTAGGTATGAGGTCTTTCCCACCCAAGAAGGCCTTGGGATCATATTTGGGCACAAATGCCCAGACAGTTCTGGCTTTTCTGGGCCACTATTTCTCATTAAAATGTTCTCACTTTTGCTCCTAGAAAATGATTCTTTCTCAAATATTTTTTTTCCTCTACTCTTTCTCCTCTCTCATAGGACACTGTCTCCAGGTGGGTTTAGAGGAGAGAGTATAGCACCTAACTGGATATACAGGGGACCAAGAGGGTGAGGGTTAGCTTCCTAGTAATGCCTCCCCTGACCCCTAATCTCACCAGCTTCCAGTTGTCCTAGAAAAGCTAGAGGAGTAGAGTGGGAATGTTAAGGACACATGATAACACTTATGTGTCTTCAGTGAAAACACATAAGAATAAATGTAAATCTTTTTTCACCCTCATTTTGAAGGTTATTTTCCATTATGGTAAAATATACAGAACAAAAAATTTATGATTTTAATCATTTTTAAGTGTACAGTTCAGTGCCATTAGGCATATTCACAATGCATCACCACCATCCATCTCCATAATTTTTCACCTTCCAAAACTGAAACTCTGTACCCATTAAACAATAACTCCGTAATTCTCCCACCTTCCAGCCCTATTGTACTTTATGTCTCTGTGAATCTACCTAGTCTAGGTGCCTCATATAACAGGAATTATGATCCCACTGTTTGTCCCTTTGTGATAGGCTTATCTTACTTAGCATAATGTCTTTAAGGTTCACTAGTGTGGTAGCAGGTGTCAGCATTTCCTTCCTTTTCAAGGCTGAATAATATTCTCTTGTCTGGTTATACCACATTTTGTCTCATCTGTCAGTGGACACTTAGTTTGCTTTCACCTCTTAGCTATTGTTAATAATGCTGCTATGAATAAGGTTTACAAGCACCTGAGACTCTGCTTTAAATTCTTTGGCTATATACCCAGAAGTGAAATTGCTGGATCATGCAGTAATTCTATTTTTAATTTTTTGAGAAACAGCCATCATGTTTTCCACAGCAGCTACACAATTTTACATTCCCACCAACAGTGCACCAAGGTTCCAATTTCTCCACATCCTCACCACCACTTCTTATTTTCTGTTTTGTTTTGTTTTGTTGTAACAATAGCAATCTTAATGGGTGTGAGATGATATCTCATTGTGGGTTTGATTTGAATTTCTGTGATTATTTATGATGTTGAGCATCTTTTTGTATGCTTTTTAGCCATTTGTCTTGACTTCTTTTTTTTTTTTTTTTTTTGAGACAGAGTGTCACTGTGCTGCCCTCAGTAGAGTGCCATGGCGTCACAACTTACAGCAACCTCAAATTCTTGGGCTTAAGTGACTTTCTTGCCTCAGCCTCCCACGTAGCTAGGACTACAGGCACCCACCACAATGCCTGGCTATTTTTTTGTTGTAGTTGTCATTGTTGTTTAGTAGGCCCAGGCTGGGTTTGAACTCACCAGCCCTGGTATATGTGGCTGGTGCCCTACCCACTGAATTACAGGTACCAAGCCTTGATTTCTTTTAAATCAATTATCTTTACCATTCCATTTGTCCTTCTCTACTAGTTTAGGTGTTATACATTTTGTTTCAGCTATTTTAGCGATTGTGCTAGAAATTACAACATGAGTCCTAAGTCTTAGAGGTTACTAAGGCAGGAAAGCATCGAATAGGGTGTAGTGCCCACAAGGTGCCTAAGACATTGGAATCTGTTCAATCAACAGTTATAGAGTAGAAACTAATAAGAATTTTCAGACTGGGCATGGTGGCTTTCACCTATTATCCTAGCACTCTGGGAGGCCAAGGCAGGTGGATTGCTTGAGCTCAGGAGTTCAAGACCAACCTGAGTGAGAATGAGATCCCATCTCTAAAAAACAGTGGACATTGTAGCAGGCGCCTGTGGTCCCAGCTACGAGGGAGGCTGAAGCAATCCTGTTGCCAAGAGTTTGAGGTTGCTGTGAGCTCTGATGCCATGGCACTCTCCTGAGGGTGACAAAGCGAAACTCTGTCTCAAAAAAAAAAAAAAAGAAAGGACTTTGGACTACTCTTGCTAGACTATAACAATGAATTAATTACAGGCTTCTTATTATATAGCAACAGAGAAAAATTATTCAAATTTTGTATACATTTTATGATTTTATGTGCCCGTGCTGGATACATACACAATTCACTAGAATATAAGACAGACTGTGGTAAGTGAGAGTCATGATTAGGGTGTGAGAGAAAGAAAATATTACATAAAGTTGAGGAAATCATGGGGAGACAGGAAAAAGAAGCAGGGTGAATAAGATGTGAGTTCTGGAGTTCAGAACTTAAATGACAATCAGCTTTGTGACTCTGGACAAGTACTTTAATCCCTCTAAGCCTCAGTATCTACATCCTCCTAGCCTGCCCATGGAGAATGCTTTATACAGTAAATTGTCCCTCCTTCCTTCTTTGCTTCCTTCTTTTCCTTTTTCCCTCTTTATTTCATTCCTTCTATCTTCCTTGTGCTTCTCCTCCCAAATGACGTTCAGAATCATGGCTGATTACTGAGCATTACTGGAAGTGATGGCGGAGGAAATAAGGAAAATGGGGAGAAGGGAGAGAGACAAGAAGGAGGGAGGAAGCAAGAAGAGAGAAAGGAGAAGATGGTCTGGGAGAGATGTGGAATACATTTATGGTTCCTAGAATTAGGCAGGTTCTGACAACCCCTCTGAGGGCCAGCTTCTTTCTTCTGGGCTCTTATCACCAACATTTCCCTAACCTATTGCAATATCCTCTTTCCTGATCCTCTAGTCTCTCATCTCCACCCTCTCCAATCTATTCCACTGCCTGCTCTTAAAAGAGTGTTTTATAAGGCTGAGCACAGTGGCTCATGCCGGTAATCCTTAGCACTTTGGGAGGCTGAGGCAGATGGATTGCTTGAGCTCAGGAGTTTGAGACTAGCTTGAGCAAGAGCAAGACTCTGTCTCTACTAAAAATTGAAAAACTAGCCAGGTGTTGTGGTGGACACCTGTAGTCCCAGCTACTTGGGAAGGAAGGGGATCACTTGATCCTAAGAGTTTGAGCTTGCTGTGAGCTAAGACACCACAGCACTCTGCCCAGAGTGACAGAGTGAGACTCTGTCTCAAAATTTTAAAAAATCTTTTATAAGCAAACTTGATTACTTCCCTCTTCCTCTCCTGTTTAAAAATATTCAACAGTTTCTCACTGCCTACATGATGATGTACAAAAGTGTTGGCCTGGACTCCTTCACTCTCAAATGCT